ACGGAACGACGAAGAAGACCCCAATGCCCTCATCCTTCCCCAGTCGCGTCCAGCGGCGTGCCCGCCTCCTCCGCCCAAGGCGAGGAAGGGAGCAAAGAGCCCGCAGAATGACGATGGCAACGACGGGCCCGTGCTCCCTCAGTCGCGCCCAGTGGCACGCAAACCGGCAGCACCGAAAGAGAAGAAGCACGCGGGTGCCGTTGCACCCAAGCGCAAGGAGGTTGAGGAGCCGCAGACCGAGGGCATCGCATCGCACTCCGAGGTCGTCAAGAAACCCAGAGGGCGGCCCCCGAAGCCGAAGGTTCCAGTAGCAGCAACTACCGATGCGGGTGCGGGCTCAGCGAGCGCCAGTGCAGGTTCAGCGAATGCGGGTGTGGGCGCTGCGTTGGGCGACACCACAAACACACCCGTGGCTGCGGCTGACTCGGAGGCGGGGACGGGGCGTATCCGGAAGGCGAAGAAGATGTACGATGGGACATTTGCCCCGCTGGTCGCGAAGCGCCCGGCGGCGGATCAGGCGGCACCATCCAAACCTGTGAAAAAGTAAGTTCTGTGTCCGTGCGTTTTTACCCTCTCTAACTTTCTCCAGAGCCCGGATGAAGGCGTAGGTGCGCGTGAATGCGGGCAGGTGGGCGTTACGTGCGGACGATCGTTTGAAGGACATTCTCTCAGCTAGTAGGCTGCTCAACCAGGTGTAGTGTACAAGTTTTCTTTTTATAACGATGATACGCTGGCAACTGACCCAGCAGTGTGGGAAGTGAGCAGGAATAGTGCAATGCAGGAGTGCTGAAGGTCGAGACCAACAACTAACTACCACAAAACCACCAACCTAACACTAAACCACTGCAAGACAGAAGTCATTGTGTTGTTTGTTCGGGGATAAGACCAAGTATTAGGTCTATCAGACGAGATTTACGGTGATAGTCTTTCCAAGAATCACTTGTGTAAATGGCCCTTGTCCGAGCGATCCCAAGGATGTTTGTCTGCAATCGACTAGATTGTATACACAACACACAGTAGGTCGGCGCTTTTAGGGCCTTCCAAGATACAATGGGGTGCAATTTGATCGCGATATTGGGTTTTATTCGGGCTCAAAGGCCCTTCAGCAATGGTATCGACTGGGCTCAACAGGCTTTCAACAATTATAAACGGGTCGACTTGATTGTCGACTACGAGTACAATGGTGTATATGGCCTGGAGCAGATGCAAGAACAGTGTTTTAAATCGTGTATATGGTTGATTTCCGTAAAGGAGCACACAACCTACCAACAACTAATCGTGACTATATTCTAGCCGCCAACTAGTCGCCGATGCGATTGGCTTGTAAACCCCCCAGAACACACTGGTGAACTGTATAAACGCGATTGAACAAGTATAAACTTGTAAGAACTTCCAGGCCAGGTAAACTTCCAGGCCAATAAAACTTCCAGGCTCAATGTATTGTGACTTCCAGGCTCAAATGTTTAACTTCCAGGCTCAGGTGTTTATATCAATCCAAAGGTATATTCACACACTATAAAGCAGACTCTACTGAGCAATGCCTTAAGGCGAACAGAGCACACAATCTAACCAAGCAGCTGGTTGTGACTATTCCTAGCCTCCAACCAGCCACTGGCGCGATTCGCTACTGTTCCCTCTCGAGCAGGCGCCCTTATATACTGTTTCTATATACGATTACAAACAATGATTACGCTACAAGCTGATAAATAATATATGAAATGAGCACGCAATCCGGAATATCTCGTTCCCATAACCTCTATGATTGGTCGAGGGCCTTCCCACGTTCGTGGATGACTCCTCCTTGCTGATATACAGCGGAGCCGTATGACTCGTAGCTCCGATCCATCGGGATTGAGGCGCGAACGGTCATACTCCAAGGTATACAGTGTTCAGGACACCTTCGAAGTGTCTTATATTGTTTTAGGCTTCCTTCCCAAGTCTCATATGTGCTTTATACAGACTTTAGGTGCTAGTTTACGGCAGTCGAACATCGTTCCGGAGTCTTCCGATCGATATTTGATTCCATCAACAGAGTCATCCGCGTCCGTTCGGATCCGATCGAACCGGCTACTTGTGTTCCCGGAGCCTGGACCCTTCACGTGAGGTGTCGCAGCGCGAGGATCAGTGTCAACATTGTTAAACATCCTGTCGCTTGACTATATATGCCTTTCTTAGCATGTACACAGGGCTCGGAACCCTTCCCCTTGGATAACTGGGTTGCAAATAGTCTCTATTCCTTCCTGACTCGGTCTGACTCATATGGCTGTCAGGTGATGTCCGATGTCCCGGACGGCTTTAACCATGACCCAGGGCCTAGAATGGTCCAGAATCAATGCTGTAGAGGCCAGGCTGGGTGCCTTCGTCGGTCCTACTGAGTGTATATGCTGCTTCGGTCATGGATACAGCCTTTGAGTGCATGTATATGGCGACTGAACACACACACACACATATGGTCCTAGATGTGGCTTCCTATCTGCCCAGCAACCATACATACTCTTGGTTCGAGTGTATATGCTTGAGGGTTTAGTGTGTAAGCTCAACTGTGTACTCTCCAAGTGTCACTAGTTCAATCATCCGAATAGACTTGGATGGGTTTACAGCCATCCGGTCCTATCAGCAACAGAACAACCTCGTTCAGATCATCATATATGCCGACTGATCGTTGTATACACTATTCGACCATCGTATATGCCACTTTATAGTCAGCTATTGGATGTCGATGCCATATCATCTGATACAGTTCTGTCTCCATCTCGTGTATTTATTGCTTATATGGCCTAGGGATGCAATATATCCCATCTCCTTGATATGGACTGGCACTAAGTGACTTGTTTACCCTTGGATAGAGGGTTTGCACTGTTCGACCTTAAGGTATTATATCCTAGGTCAAGTCGTATATAGGCCTCAATGTGGAGTACCTGCTATAAGATCATGTCCCAAGAGTCCTCTGGGTGCCATATATCCTCGACTATCTGCGCGGAGATCACAATAGTCCTCTATCGAGAATGCTAGTACTTTGTAGATATGAAGCATGCACAAAATGCAATTTTCACAGCCAGCTCAGTTCACTGCTTATCAACGACTAGTAGGCTGCTCAACCAGCTGTAAAATGTTTTCTTTTTTTAACGACAGACTTAAGAATTTTCTTGCTGATTTTGGACTTGTACGTTTTCTTGGTGATTTTGGACTTGGAGTTTTCCGGCGAATAGGACTTGTACCGGGAAATAAAAAAGAAGTCATTAAAACCACTTTTACGGAGGGTTGAACTGATGACCTTCGCAGGAATGGCAGAATAATGAGAGGTACACTCTAACCATTAGACTACACAGGAGTCCTTTTCCTAATTAATCTAGGCACCAGATGTACGCATTTGCGTCGAGCACATGCAAAATATATAAGTAGGTGTTGAATATGTTCTGAGATGTCGTCGGGCGTCTTACTGTTAGATGACAGTGAATGTAGGATATGGTGGCATTCAATGCGGGTGGGCTACATTTTGCTGACTATTTCCAGTTCACAAATGAATTTATTTGATCAATGTCTAATACAACTGGGCGGGTTCAATGAAAGAAGCGGGTGCAGGGATGCAGAGCTGCGGGCGCCCAACGCAAGAAGGTTTTCAAGCGGTGGGAAGGCACTGCGCGCACCGGGGGTGGGCAGAGGTGCGGGAAAATGGCAGGGCGCGGTACGAGTGGGGGGAGCATGCAGTAGAAGTATTTAATAATGTATCTATTTTTTTCCAGAGGGCGGAAGGGGCGGGGTGAACGAGAAAGGAGAGGCAGGTGCGCCTTGGATAGCTGTTTGCGAGAAACTGGAAGGTGCGCGGCGCGGGCGGGCGGTGGGAGCGCGGGCGGCAGGAGGAGGGCGCGTGAACGAGCAAAAAGGAGCGGGTGCGATGTAGATGGATGTTGGCGAGCAGCTGGAAGGTGCGCGGGACCGTGGGGCGGCGGGGGCGGCGCACCGGGCCGCGAGGGCGCGTGAATGAGCAACGAGGAAAGGTCACAATATCGAAGAATATGAGCTGCAGCTAGAAGGCGCCCAGTGCGGTGGGGGAAGCGGGGGCGGCGGGAGCGTGCAGGGTGGTCGGGGCGCACACGGCCAGCGGCGGGGCAAGCGATGAAAGAGTATAAGAGAAGCACATAAGTGGTGAGCAACTGGACGACCCGCAGCGCGGGGGGCGGGCGCGGGGTGGCAGCCAAGTGGCGGACGATCCCGCTACTAATGGAGCAGCAAGGGTGGATCAGGGGCAGGTGAGCGGTTTCTGGTGCCAGAGGATACCTAAGGAATGCGTACACTATGGAGCGAGCACAGGCGGTGAGGGGGGCAGTGGAGGAAGGCGGCTTTTTGGTGGGAGGAGTAAGGGATGCATTCATAACAAGGATCAACAATGCCCAATTAAGCGAGCGCAAGCGCCCAGCGCGCGCGACGGAGGCGCCATCATTGATGGAGCGCCGCACGCGGTGGCAGGGCTGCTCGTAGGCCGCCTGGCTGCACATCTATAAAGGCTGAGGTGATGCATCACGACCGATACACAACCGTCAGCCGTGATCAATCACGACCCATCCACAACCACAACGGTGTGATTAATCATTTCCCCGTATACGCCTGCATCCTTGAACCGCTCTGGCCTCACAGGGCACCCCTGGAATCCCTAGTCTCATCAACTATCTGCCAGTGCTTGCTCTCCCAAGAGGAAATCCCGCATTCGGAGGCACGGCCCCACTAATAAAGCATATACCTTCCTTTGCTCGCTCCCCGTTGCGTATGTCGCCCGAGCCACTGGCATCACCGGTCAGCTGCCCGACAGCTCTCCCGGTGGTTATTTTCCGTGTATACGATACACCTCTGTCTTTATCTGTATCTGTAGATATCCATGTACTAATACCACAAAGTAACGCACACACCCTATCTTCGTAAGTACAGTATCTGAGGAGCGAGTTAACCCGACTCTCGAGCTCAACTTGAAAAAAAAAAAAATGAAATGAAGACCAATTATCTTATCACCCGACCCCGAATCGAACGGGGACCTTCTGCATAAGTTTAATGGCCAACCTATATATGCTGCAGATGCACACCTTGTGCCATCAGGTGCTTACTCTGCGTCCCCAATCTCAGACTAAGACAACCATTCCGAGATCTTGAAGTTGAAAAAAATTCAAATCCACGACTCGTTTCTAGACTCTTAGCTCATGCCTATTATATTAGAATCATTGGATTTGAACCCCGGCAAAAGTGGGTTCCCACTGAAAGCAAAAGAGAAACTGAGGAAGGGAAACTGAAAAAAAGAATACAGCAATCGATAAATCACCCGACCCCGAATCGAATGGGGACCTTCTGCATAAATATTGATGTACCAACCACACATCCTGCAGATGCACACCTTGTGCCATCAGGTGCATGCTCTGTAGCCCCAATCTCGGACTAACAGCTACACTTCTAAAATCCCGAGTTGAAGCTTACTTGATGAACTTGATAATAAAATCAAGTAAACTTCCAGGCAGTTCCAGCAGCTTATGTCGTCTGAAATCTATCAGACATTGAGTTTAAATTCCCAGCGCGAGTAAGCGAGTCTTCAACGAAACCAGAAGAGAGTGAGGGAAACTAAAAAAAAACACGCTGGAAAGGGAATCACCCAACCCCGAATTGAACGGGGACCTTCTGCCTATGGTCCTGTGGGCTCGTAAGTCCTGCAGATGCACACCTTTTGCCATCGGGTGCATGCTCTGCACCTCCAATCTCGAGCTACCTGGTGCACTTGTGAGCACTTGAATTGGCTTCCTCAAAGTTAAGTTAAGCTTTGGCCGCACTGAAAAAAATGCTCACACCCTGTTCAAGTCTTCTCAACCTCGTTCCGAGCTGTCGTAAATAGAGGAAACCAATCACCACCCGACCCCAAATCGAACGGGGATCTTCTGCCTAAATTCACAACATCTCACAAGAGTAGCAGATGCACACCTTGTGCTATCAGGTGCATGCTCTACATCCCCAATCTCAGGCTAACAGAGACACCTCTGGCTAATCCCGAGTTGCTCACGTCAATTTGACCTTCAACGATAAAATCAAATCAACTCTGGCCACAAATCCACGGCTCCTAGTAGGCTCCCAAATATTTTAGAAATCTTATGTTTAAATTCCTAGCGAAAGCGAGTTCCCAGTGAAAGCAAAAGAGAAACCGAGGAAGGAAAACTAAAAAGAAGGTACGGCAGTTGAAACGGATCACCCGACCCTGAATCGAACGAGGAATCTCTGCATAACAGCAAAATGAAATTGCCACATGCTGCAGACGCACACCTTCCGCCATCGGGTGCTCACTGTGCATCTTTAATCTTGGACCAACAGAGACACCTGTGGCCGATCCCAGGTTGCTCATGTCAATTTGACCTTCAACAATAGGGGCAGTCAGAGTAGCGGATTATGGAGGGATTATGGAGGGATTATGAGACGGATTATGGGAGGATTATGGTATTTTTTTGGACGCTTAATCAGCCACAATCCTGTGATAATCGCACTCAATTCTGACCGCCCTGGATTATGCTGCAATTATGCTGCGATTATCGACTACACCTACAATCAAAAAGCGCAAGTAGGCAACTTAATTACTTGCCAAGGACCTCTTTTTAGTGTCCGCCTCCAGACGTGCTGCCGTATGCCTCGAGCCGACCGACACGGAGGGCGCACGGACTCCCTCCTTAAAGCCTATGTACGCAACAGCAAGGGATGGCAGCGTCAGGCTCTCTTGCATCAACGTGCAGCAGCCCGCATTCGGCAGGAAAATCAGGCAGAGATCTCGGCGGGCATAGAACTCGACCTATCCTCATCTTCCAACAGCTCTTCCAACAGCCCTTCCGACAGCGAGTATTCTGATAGCTGGAGTGATCTTCTCGGCCCGGACTGCCAGTGATTTGGGGGGGACAGTGTGCTAGATGGCTTGTCCTTGGACACAGATTCCACCTCCAAGTCAGACAGCTCGGAGCTCATGCCCGATGTGATTGGGACTGCGGTGCTGGTGTGTGAATTGGTTTACACTGGCAACAGCTTGTTCGTCCTCCAGGGGATTCTGAGTATGATTTTTAGGGGATTGCAAGGTTTATTGGATCGCCCTTTGGGTTGGTGGTGATAAATGAGGGTGGTCGTCCCAACGGGACGATTGTCGTAGAGAGTGTGTGTGTGTATATAAACTGCTCGAGGGCCTGTGCGTCCGGCTGGGACGGTCGGTTTGTCGATGGGCTGAGGCTAGAAAAAGGATTGTGGGGCGCGAGCTTATGGACTTAAGCTGCAAGGGGGGTTAGAAGTAAAGTGCTGTGAAGCAAGTGAGTGGTTGGTATTGGATGTGGACTAAGGTACACTGCGGAACAGTGCGGGGGGAAATCCGATGTCCAAGGACTACTAACTACTGGGTCCGTTTCCGTCTCCCTTTTATACCTTTTCCCCTACCTCCTTTGGGTCGCGCGTTATGTGACGAGGAGGGGCTGAAACGAGGTCCAACAGTTTCAGGTGGGTAACGGAAGGAGAATTGGAGAATGTCCTCCTGGGACGAACTGCCTTTCAGCGAGTTCACGGGGGTTCCTGGAGGCGTGAGAGGCGTGGGCGACCGGGGGAGCCATCCTGGACATGGATTCGATGCTCTCCAGGTCGGTACGTGGGCTGGAAAGGGAGTCCATGAAGAACGTCCCCAAGGGACGTTGGGTGCAGGTGGCGATTCCGTCGGAGCAAGTTTCCCATGGTGTCATGGTGCTTTAGTCAGAGTGTATGGCCAGAGAGGACGGTCGTTTGGCCCTCGTGAACAGTCGCGCGGTGCCCTAAGGATAGTCGAAAGCTCGAACGGCCTGGTCGGACGATGTCCATTTCCGGCAAGCAGGAAGCCCAATCCGGATATTCCTTCGTCCCAAAGTCGCGTGGTGCCGGTAAGTCCGTCGTGACACATGTAGGGTGCGTAGCACCCTCACAGCGCAGAGAGGACGCAGAAACCGCCTACTACGCGCAGGGTCACAAGAATGCGGGAATTTATGTCACAGATTCGCGGGATGATGCGGAGGAGTACACCAAGAATGAGGTCTGGATTGAGGATGTGGCGTAGTGAATATTATTACATGTGAAATGGTACCCGGCGCCTAGCGGGCGCCTGTCGTCCTAATCAGGACTGCGAAACAAACATGATCAATGTTGATGTGCCGCATGTGCCTGATGGCAACCTAACAAACAGAGGAGGTCCACGACAGACCAGGTCGCGGACCTCCTCTGTTGTGGACTTTCTTGGCCTCATCTCCCTGCACGCTGCTTTCCCTCGTTGTCATATATCTCCAGAATGAACCGCCGCAGAAACCGTGAAGAAGACTATATCATACCTCGAGAAACTCCCGAAGAGCGCCAAATCCTCGAGACTGGTCTCCCACAGCGAAGACCAGAGGTCATCTGGGAGAGCACCGACGTGCGCAGGGATGGTCGCCTTCAACATTTGACCTCAGTGGCCGGCGTCTCTGGCTGGAGGAGCTCAGTATCCACACCTGTCGTGCCTGCCTCAACGACACCGACTGCGGACGACGTCCCGGTCTACGATATCCTGGAGCTCAGGCCATCGGAGGAAACGGTGGAGGGGCCACGCGCTGCCCAAGATTCGGTGAGTGGATGTCGCCTGGCATCCTTTTGAGCGATGCTGAGTTTTGCACAGGACCACCCTCTACGCCAATGGGCACAGGACCATCAAGACATCTTCCTGGCGGAGTTGCTGCGTTGGGATGGCTGCAGAGACCATCGCGGCCAATCGAATTGCAGACACTGTGCGACAGGGCTGGCGGAGTACCGCTGTAGAGACTGCCTGGGCGGCGGGGAGCTTCTTTGTCAGGACTGCTTGCTGCGACGGCACGAGCAGCTTCCCTTGCATCGGATCCAGGTGAGCGGCCAGGTCTGCCAAGTGACCTGCACGACTAACCCATCACAGAAATGGACTGGGTCGTTTTTCACTCGCAAGATGCTCAAGAAGCTCGGCTTGCGTATCCAGCTTGGCCATTGGCACAGCAGCGAGCGTATATGCCCCAATCCGGACCGCGCGGTGGGCGACGATTTCGTGATCGTCGACGTTAGCGGTGTACATGAAGTCGGCCTAGACTTCTGTGGATGCGGATCTGGCGGTGCGCAGACCGTTCAGCTACTCTGTGCGAACCTCTACCCTGCTACAACGTCATATCCACGAAGCGCGACGACATTCAATGCACTGCGACGATTCCACATCCTGTCTTTCGAATCAAAGTGCTCCGCCTACGAGTTCTACCATAGCTTGGCTAGGGAGACCGACAATACTGGCCTGAAGGTGGTCAAGGTTAGTTTCAATCTGTCTCATTATGGTACAAGGCTGATGCACGATTAGGACCGATATCATGAGTTTTTGCGCATGACCCGACAATGGCGACACCTCCAAATGCTGAAGCGCGGAAGAAGGGGGCACGATCCTGCAGGCATCGCAAATACGCAAGACGGCAAGCTGACCCTCTTGTGTCCGGCGTGCCCGCATCCAGGCAAAAACCTGCCGCCAGACTGGATGGACTACCCAGAGGAGAAGCAGTAGGTTCTGAGGCTTTTACCTTTCACAAAGGGCTAAAGAATGCTTTCGCAGGTTCCTCTTCGCGCTATTCTTGGCAATGGATGCCAATTTCCGGCTGAGGCGCAAGGATGTATCATCTGAGGAGAAGGATCCGGGGCTCGGCAGGGGTTGGGCTTTTTTCTGCGAGGTGAAGGCTTACATGAAACACCTCAAGGAAAACTGGAACCAGAAGCAGGAGGTAAGCGCTGGAACAGCCTGCAGGAATTCCGGCTAACATTTTCCTGTAGAGGAGCCACTGCATAGCACACGATGCTGTCGATAAGCCCGACCGCGAGGCGCGCGGCACGGCGTCTTCGGGGATCGGTGCGGTGGACTGCGCGCGCCATAATATGAAGCGGCCGAACACGGTCGGTGATTTGCAATTGGGAGAAAGGTAGGCACCAAAGCGAGACCACGACGTGCGGTGCTAACATTTTTCTAGATACTTGAATATGGACTACATGTTTTTCAAGAGTGTGCATGGCACCGATCTCGTGCGGTTCTTCGTTTCGTA